AAAAAAAAAAAAAAAAAAAAAAAAAAAAAAAAAAAAAAAAAAAAAACGTAAGAATAAAGTGTGTGTGTAGTGTACTTCTCTAGGAGTTTTCCACTTTAAAAAAAAACACAATATATTCTTTCCAAAGTTACGAACGACGAGAAGGATAGTATTTAAATAAGGGGTTCTTTAATTCACCATTTAACGTTTATTACTATAACTCTTAGTATCTACAAATGTGGGGTTGAGGGATTTCTCATGCTAAGAGCGTGAGCACACCTGAAACTGTTTAGTCACACTGTGATTCCTATAAGCTTTTATGAAGGTCCGCACACTACTCGACATTAGTTGTGCAACTGAACAGTTGAATTGGCTGCGAAAAAATGGACAATCGCACAACTGTTGTGCCAAAGTTCAGTCAACGGTATGCGCTTCTTAATCTACACATTGTATCCAGTCAAATGTCGCAGTATGTGCCTGAATCAATCAGTTAATTATAATGAAATGTTATTTAAACAGAGTCATCCAAAGTACGAGTTCGAGTACAAAGTAGAGGATCACCACACCGGTGACAAGAAGTCACAGCACGAGCAGCGTCACGGTGATGTTGTTGTGGGCGGGTTCTATTTGAACCAGCCGGACGGTTCTGACAGACATGTGAATTATCATGCTGATCACCACAGCGGGTGAGACATTTTTTATTTATTTTTAAAGCGATGTTAACTAATATGTGATAACCAATGCTTATTCGAAATACGAGAGAAATAACAGATGAGTCAACGTTTTAAAAAGAGGTGAATTTCTCGTGAATTTAGTTTAAACTAAGACAGACTTTAAACATGTTTTAATCTGTTTTTTTTTTCAGATTTCATGCGGATGTTAAATACAGCACTCATCATTTCCATCATCACCACTAAATGTTAAAATGTTTTTTACGACTGTTTTATTTTCTAATATAAAAGTAGCAAAATGTTGACTATTCAGTAAATTTAATTAGAAAATGTTTACCATTAATTAATGTTGATTTTTTACTTTGTATAAAACATTTTTGTTTAATAAAGAAATTATAAAATTAAAACACATTTTTAATAATCATACAAGTTAGCCAATGAAGAAGTAAAAACAATTTCTATGTAACTACTTACGGATTACGGAGTCTTCATTTCTTCATTAGACTAGTTAAGTTGATTACTTTCGTAAAAATTAGGTTTTTGTCATGGCTTGTTAGGTTATAACGGAAATAAATTATATACAAAACAACCATTTATTATATTATTTCAAAATCTCAGTAAATTTTATCAATTAATGTTACCAATGTGAAAGGAAATACAAAAAATATTAACTAATGCGAAAGTTCAGATGGATGAAAAGGTGGATGTTTGTTAGAGCTTGAAGCCTAAACTGTTGAAAGGATCTTGATGAAATTTGGCATAGTTGTAGAAAATAGTCTGGAAGAAAGAAAGGCTGCTTATTTTTGTTTTTTTTTTAAATTCCACGCGGACGGGGTCACGTGCGAAAGTTAGTACTTAACATGAAAGTTTTGTGTATTAATATTTAAGTCTATAAATGACAAGGAATTAAGTATTAATTTCTATGTTACCCTTATATTATAAAAATCTATTTTCAAACAAGAACATGATTATCAGAAAATAATATGGATTTTCTAACTTTGGGCTAAATATTGAACTTAATATGAACATTCCTTTGTGTCATTATAGAGACTGATCCTAAATTACATATTATACTTTTTCATATTTCTTTGAAAAAAATTTCATAAAAAGTATTCATTCGATTTAAAATTTAATTAATAATACTCGTAAAACAAAGGGTTTTCATTAAAATGAGGTTATATATTATTAGTACCAAATTAGTAATTTAATATTTAGACTTTTAGTAACAAGACATTAATGTTAATTGCAATTATTAAATAATATTTATTATGTATGAAAGTCTCTAATCTCTGATACCCCACTATTATTGACGTGAATTGTGTTCTTCTGATTTAATTTTTTGACATTTACACTGTAACTAGGAAATGTACTGTAATTAATATTGGCTTCTAGTAGGAGGCAACACTTATTATACTCGATTCATATTAATTTTGTACTAATGAAGGATGTGAGAAATAACAAGTTGGTTCTGGTTTTCCTTTTTATTTAAAGAGTTTATAACAATATAAGGACATTTTGTTGTTAATACCATTATAATAACACATGACACGGAAGATCGCCACATTGGATGAGTTTACCTAATTTAATAATGATGATGAAGATGATGGGTGCTGTATTTCACATCAGCACGAAATCTATTAAGAAAGAAAACAAATTATTAATACTTATTAAAGTAATAAAAAAGCGGTGCGTTCCAATAAATTGATTGTTAACTGTTACCCGCTGTGATCATCGGCGTAGTAATCCACATGTCGGACAGAGCCATCTGGTTGGTGTAATGAGTAACTTCCCTTCACTGCACCACCGTCGCGGTGCTCATGCTGTGATTTCTGGTCTCCAGTATGGTGATCTTCTACTTTATAATCGAACTCGTATTTCGGATGAGTCTAAAAAGACGTACTATAAGTATGAACAACTATTCCTTATTGAAAAAGACAGAATTATCCCTTAGTTGTATTTTAGGTACAGAAGTAGTTAAAAGGAAATTGACGCATTACTATATGTAGTTTTAAATCAACATTATAAACATCATTCAAATCTAGCAAGAGTATCGTGGTTTTCAATAATAAAAATGAGACATATAAACATGTTTAGAATACAATAGGATTAGTATTTAAAGTACCTACATTAATATCATTTACCATCACAATTCATTAAAAATAAACAATAGTAATAGAGAGATGGCACTTGGTACTAACGCGTACTAAATTTCAACACTTAAAAATAGCTGCGTTAGTTAAACACTAGTTTTATAATTTTAAAAGGCATTGTAATTTATCTTACAAAATAGTCAATATGCCCATGATGTCCGTGGACCGCTTCGTGATGTCCGTCATGGCGAGAGATGTGGTTTGATGAGAACGCGTGGCCGTGATCTTGAGCAACTACTACCGTTGTTATGGCAACGAAGCACAATACCTTTAAAAAGAAAAAAATAAACACAAAACAAAAGAAAAGAATAAATGTTATAAAACAATATCTAATCATACTTTAGAGAACATTTTGTTGTATCTTTTCTTGTAAATCTAGCAGTTTACTAATATCTGTTTGATAAAATACTCGGTTTTTATACTCAAAAAAATGTTATGTGTGTTCAAGGTTATTTTTAATATGAGTTGTTAAATTTCTATTGATAATTTTAATTCATTGTAACAGAGAAAGCGTAACATGACTTTGAATATTTACTCATGCTAGAAATCGTAATGAACGTCATATTCCGTAGTATTATTAAAATTTATATTTCTTGTTTAGTAATAAAATGTATTCATTAGTGGTAGCATATTAATTGTGAAAAGTATATTTTTAGTTACATATGCTTATGTTTGTACTCTGAAGCGTAACCTATACTTCTATACATTATAATAAAGCGTAAACACACTTCGTTGTTGCCTAAGATGTCATTATTTACAGCATATTTTTAAATAATCATTTTTTAATAAAAAGCCCTACACTTACTTCACGCTTTAGGCTTTATATGTTCACGCCGTTAAACTTAGGAGTAAATATTTTGGATACAAACCCTAATGTGAGAAAGAGACCATGAGTTGCTGCCAACATCAAGCAAGTAAGATTGTCATGGTTTGTCATCATGTCATGTCATTTTGACATTTGCAATTGATAAGTTGACAAATGTAAACAATACAATAAAATTTTCATAAATTCATGCGGATGAAGTCGCATGGAAACTGCTAGTAATAATATAGGTAATATATTTTTTTAATACAATTGTAATATTTAAAATGATCTAAGTCGGCAACTGACAAATACAAATCATGCGTGCATTTTCTATCTTTCATAATTTTATTGCTGGAAATTATTGTAACCTTGATAAACTGCCATTGTCTTTTTATAAAAGACTTGATATCTATAACATATTTATCAGTTTCAAAGTGATTTAGATACAAACAATATGTCTACCAAGGTATTATTCTCTTCCAAAAATATCATGATAATAAAAAAGTTTTCTTAACAGAAAAAACTCCATTAAACTTTTTTCTTATCGATGAAAATAGTAATTGACGATTTTACTAACTTTTAGGTGTTTTGCTTACTCCTGCTCGTCGCCGTAGCGGCAGTGCAAGGTTACGGGCATGCCTTCTCATCGAATCATATCTCACGTCACGACGGACATCACCAGATTGTGCATGGACACGACCATGGACATCATGATTACTATGTAAGTTATATCCTTGTATGGTACGTCATTGCAGCTGATTCTGCTGGGGACTAAAATAAATATTACGCAATTGCAGACTCATCCTAAATACGAATTCGAGTATAAGGTGGAGGATGGTCACACTGGCGATATCAAGTCGCAGCACGAGCACCGCGATGGGGACGTTGTGAAGGGAGGCTACTCTCTGCATCAACCCGACGGCTCTCACAGACATGTACACTACCATGCAGATGATCATACCGGGTAATATGTCACGTTTATTTTAGTAACATTTACGTATATATTTATATCATGAATTATAAAATACCATTTTCTTTTTCAGATTTCATGCGGACGTGAAATACAGTACCCATCATATTGTGCCCCATCATCAGTAGTGTTACTCTTAGACATTTTTGTAATGTATTTAAATACTGAAATAAATAAATATGTTGAAATTTATAAATTTCTTTTGATAATTTCTGTGCAATTCCTTAGTTACTATTTTTATTATGAATTCTAATGTATTTACAAATCATACACCCGAACAATCGTTTGACATGACGAGGCAAATCGCACTTGTTAATTTATAAATATACTAGCTTTCCCCCCGACTCTCTCAATTAGTAGCCTAATATGTTCTATATGACAAATTTCATCGAGTTCCGAAGGCCGTTTAGGCTGTAAACTCTAACAAAAAACCATATAAAGATTCGCATTTATTACATGAGTAAGATTGACACTTCGTGCTTATCGTTAAATTAGTCAAAATGTTGCTTTGTCCATAACAAGTCACAAGGGTGGCAAGGCTTTGAAACAATTGAAAAATGGATAATTCGGTCTTATTTACCCGCGCTAGTATCACACTCCCGTGATAAAAGTGGTAATGCATTGATGCAGCTGTACCTTACACAAGCACCTATGTCATTGGAAGGTAAAATAATGTATTCTGCCTATCTAATCGCACAATAGTTGTGCGCTTGTCCATAGTTTCGTAGACAATTCAACAGTTTAGTTGCACAACTCAATAGTTATATACGACATACTAGAAATGGTTTATGGACATACTAGAAATTAGGAGAAATTTAGTCAAAAGAGTAATCTTAATAAATGCTGTGATATCGGTGCAACAGCGGAATGGTTCAGATGTTCAGTGAAGTGTGACATATGCGTCTTTAGTAAACAAGGAATTTTAATGCTTCGAAACAGGTCGTACTAGTTGCTATGAATAGTCTTTCAGAAATTAAGATAGTGGAGAACAATATCTTGGAAAGTCGAGCTGTTTTTTGTTATCGTTCAAACTAAATATTTCTTAATTCTTAATCATTGTTTTTGAAATTGATATTAGTATTAAATCTACATACTTCGAAACTCTTCGCTGAGTAGTGACACCTTTAATACATTTTCTGAGACTGAGTTCATGGGGGTGAGAGCTAATTTAACGCCAAAAAGTACTTTGACTAGTCAAGCTGTATCTAAAAGTGTTTAATTATGCTTTGGGATTAGATTTGTTAAGAGTAGAAAAGAATAAGAGTAACTAGTTTCATTGTTTCACTGCAATAAAACGGATCTTCTAAAATTAAGTACTAAGCTATCCTGAGAAGAAGAAGACGCTACTTTTTCCAAGGCTGTTTTAGTCAAAATTGTAGTGCATATGTGGTATTCCGGTAAAACTGTAATCTCCTAATTTTGTTGGAAAATGATGGAAAACGAAAGTCTAGAATAATTAATACGTATTTTATTTCTTGTATATTTTATAAGCAACAGAACAAATTGACAAAAGAAACATCATATATTTTAGTTACACTATTTAGTAATGATGATCATGGTGGTGATGATGAGGCACGATGTGATGGGTGCTGTATTTCACGTCGGCGTGGAAACTAAAACAAAAAAAAAACATCAGTTCATTCTAGTTCTTTGACGAGACGTGATTCAGAAGTCAGTTGGCAGTAGGCATTTGTTTTCTTGATTAAAATAAAATAGAACTGCAATTCTTACCCGCTGTGATCATCACCGTGATATTCAACGTGTCTTTCAGAACCATCAGGCTGATGCAGAGCATATCCTCCCTTCACAACGTCGCCGTCGCGGTGCTCGTGTTGGGACTTGATATCTCCAGTATGGTGGTCTTCTACTTTGTACTCGAACTCGTATTTGGGATGAGTCTGAGAATTAAAAACCTATTAGCGTACATTTTATAAACCTTTCTAATACTCGCTTACTACAAAGTCTAAACAGTGAGAAGTTTAAACAAGGACTGTGGTAATGCAACTAATTTTAAACAATGCATACGTAATAATCATGATGATGGCCATGTTCATGATGTACTTCGTGGTGATGTCCGTCATGACGAGAGATGTGATTGGATGAATACGCGTGATCATACGCGTTAGCGACCATCATCAGAGCGACCGTGAAAATGAAGATCTGAAATTATAGAAACATAATATAACCCTGGGCTTTCATTGTCAAAATTCTTGTAGGTTCACAGTAACTAAAATTATATTGAATATGGTTGAAAAAAAAATAAAGAATTTTATACAATACCTTTGAAAACATTTTGGTTATATTTGTTCTTAGTTGCTGTACTAAGGTTTGTAATAAACTGATATATTTTAAAAAATCTCGCACACTTTTATATCGTTTCTAAGAGTGATTAAACAACACTAATTGTTATCGTAACAAGTTAATAGATTACCGTGACTGAATACTCTCAAATTCCGTGATCAACAATAATTTTAAGTATCCGCCGGTAATGCTGAAGAATTACGAAAAAAAATTTGTCTAAAATTGATTGTATAATCAAACAATTTGCGTTGAATTTTCAATAAAGAAACTAAAGTTGTAAATGCAAATATCATAATCATGTAGTTTTATTTGAAAAGTTAATCGGTCAGAGTAATTTTAATTGCTCATCGTCATTGAGTTTAGCGGCATTATGCCTTTTTAAAGATCTAATTTTCCAATATTATTAATATAATTTAAAAATCCGTATTAAGAAACAAACCTGCACTATATTTCAAATTATTAAATTTTAAATCTAGGCAGTACAAAATTTATTTAAAAAAAAAAATTGTTACTATCAAAAATGAATGTTTTATCATAACTTCAATCAATGACCAACTTTAAGGCCTTAATTAATAAGATTTTCGTGCTTTTTATAGATAAAATTTATAATATTTTTTTATCTTAGCATTGATCATTGTTGGTAACAAGACAAGTACAGATTCAAAATTCTCGTAAACCAATTAATAATGTATCTTTTTCAACTCTTTAATACATACACTTTTAAACATAACCATAAATGTCTAAATTATGGTTTTGGTTATGTCAAAAATTGTTCCATTTTTAGCAAAAATCTTTAGGAACTTAAAGTTCTCCTGCTTATTATTTTATATGTTTGACATAATTACGCATACGTGTGAATAATTAATTAAATAATCTATTCCGTAGTGTATAGGAACGCAATATTATAATCCTAATATTATAAATACGAAAGTATTGTTAGAGATTCTTGTAAACTGCTAATCGGATCTTGATGAATAGCACAAATGTAGATCATAGTCTGGAGGAACACAGAGACTAATTACTTTTTTAAATCCTGCGGGGCGGATGTCGCGGACGAAAGCTAGTTTAACATGCGATGTTATAAGGCGGAAAAGTTTACCAGGTCACACATATGAATACAACTTCTATTTAATATTTTCATTTAAATTGTTGAAAATGCATTGCAAATATAAATTTCATATTCACCTAACCATTAGGTATCCAACATTTATGTATAATGCTAAATTAAAATTTAATCTAGACGTGCATTATGCAGATAAGCTTTTAAACTTACACCGTTCCTTGATGTCTACAAACGGTGTACTTAAGTTATAGATAACATGCAGTATTTACAGACGCAGAATTCTGACTGATAGTATTAACTGAACAGTCAAACTGTTGGGTTTAATCTCTGCGTGTCTTTAAATTTAACAATTCCAATAACAGAAATTTTGCCAACACATGTCAATTTTGTATCATAAAAGATTGGAAAACGTTGCCGGTAGTATTTTTAACGTTATATTATGAGTGTTAAAATGGAATAGGATAAGACTTCATAGTAAAGATAAAACTCGTTATCAAATTTTTTTCTTAGACAAATTTCAGCCAACTTAAACACCACTCTCGACCGTAGACGGGTAAGCCGGGATGATCTCATATTAGTGTGAAATAACCGATTATAATATTTGTAACTACGCTACTTAAATGACGCTTAATATCTTGTTATCATGAAGTTATTTTTAAAACTAATTATAAGTTCTATTTTTAAGTTCTTAAGGGATTTCTAATCTTCACGTTTTTGGTAAAACATTTAATAAAATACGACAAATACATAAAAATCAACATTTTATTTTCAGTCAGGAATTTATGCAACAATTTGATTTAATAATAGAATAGTTTTCTTCAACGAAGAATGTTTTTTTTTAAACAAAACCCGTATTAATGATGATGTTTTGGTACATCATGATGAGTGCTGTATTTCACATCGGCGTGGAAACTGAAACGAAAAAAAAAACAATATTATAAAGAGAACTATAAAACTTTCCAAATCATAAAGTGTAAAATTTTGTAATTTTTCTTGTCATAATTAAAGATATCGAAATTATTTGCTTTGGGTGAAGAATCTCAAATGTTAGATCAATTGTTTCTTAGAATACAATACGAGAACACTCTTGTACCCGGAATGATCATCTGCATGGTAGTGTACGTGTCTGTGAGAGCCGTCGGGTTGATGCAGAGAGTAGCCTCCCTTCACAACGTCTCCGTCGCGGTGTTCATGCTGCGACTTTTTGTCCCCCGTATGGTGGTCTTCCACTTTGTACTCGAATTCGTACTTGGGATGAGTCTGTGAAAGAACAAAGAAGCTTTTTTAAAATTTGAACCAGATATCTATTTTAAAGGAGAATCCTGATTGTCCATATCAACGATCTTCGTTAAAAACTCTACTTAGGAACAACCAGTCCAGAACATTCATTTGAAAAAGAATTGCTTCGAAGTTTATGTTTCTATTATTTAGATTTTTATACGTACGTAATAATCATGATGATGGCCATGTCCATGGGAAACTTCATGGTGATGTCCATCGTGACGTGTTATGTGATTCGATGAAAACGCATGCTCATATGCCTGGGTGTGCACAAACATCACCAATGCGAGGACTAAAACCATCTGTGAATAAAAATTTAAACATATTCAAACTCAACACATTTTTATTAAGAAAACTGTCACTACGATTCTTAATAAAATTATTGAGATGAACCAACTGTGCTCACTTGTGTTACTAAAATATTACTAGTAATACAACTGTTTTTTTAATTACCTTAGAAGTCACTTTTTTTCTTTCTTACTTGTTAGTTCGATCTGTTAAAGAATACTAATACATATACCAGTAAACTCAACTCTTTTATATTGCGTTTGCCTGAAATAATACAACAATGATTGATATTGTAACACATTGTTAGATTAACCGTGTCTGATGTCGACAATTAAAATACCGTGATAACGGATAGTTTAAATTATCCGTTAACAAAGAAATTATTAAAATAACTGTCTCAGAGCGTGTACACACCTGAAACTAAACTATCGCACAACTGTTTACACTCGCTTTGATTCCTATTTATAAACAACTAAACAGTTGAATTGGCTGCAAAACAATCTACAATCGCACAACAGTTTTGCGATAGTTTAGTCAATGGTGTACGCCCGCTTTTAGCAAGCTGGTAATTGCATACAGTACAGTTTGTACAGCGCTAAGTAGATAACTTTTGTATTCACACTGAGATTATATTTTAAACAGTGATGTAATAAATCAAAGGGAAAAGCTTCTGATAGTCTACCGTGAAAAGTAATTGAAATAGTCTTGATTATTAATTGAATACGAAGGTTTAAAAGGTAATAAGATAGCTTAAAAAATTTTAATTTATTTTGGTAGTCTTTTTTTTATAAGAAAAGTGGGCAAACGAGCAACGGATCGCTTGATATTATGTTATCCGACGCCCATGAACATCCGCAATGCCAAGGGTACTGCAGATGCGCTGTCTGTAGTAAATATATTAGGTTCATAGTGTCAGCGACATGCCAAAAACGTATCTATATAATTAACAGAACACTTTTAAAATTATGTTTTAAATAGGCGTAAATTGTCGCTCCCGATGAACAGGTTTTTCGTTTTTAAATACGCTACTTCAAGTTCTAATACCACTGTGTTCTACATCGTTGTACGAAAGTGTCACACACCATTATTATTATGACGTCTCCAATACTTAGTACGGGAGTCCTTTTGTTAGCGCATCCATTTCAACTCGTACTCTCAAGGCCTTCTAATTACTAGAAATATTTTCCCTTGCATTAGTTTTTGTCCGCAGCATGGAGGAGGTCATAAACATGATATTCCGAAAAACGGAATCCTTACTATTGTATATATAATTATTATAAGGCTTGTTGTCTAGGTTTTCGCTTAAGACCAGATCTTTTAATGATTGGTACACCAATCCTATACAATCTCTCAGAATATTAAAAATTGTATCATAATACGAAATAAGGTTTACTCTACATTTATTTTAAGATACAAGTTGCTAGGTTAAAATTCTTTACTTATTTTATACTTTTACGTAAGACCATAAAAGGTGTTCCGAATTTATAAAAAGACAATACCGGTTCAATATATGAGGTCAAATAAATCATATTCTTGTATACCTTAAGTATTATGTAACAGACTTTTTTTAAGCTCAATTTTTAAATTATGAAGATCAAGTAATTTATATGTGAATATTTCAATTGTCTTGACTTTTTTGAACTGTTAAAATAAATGACTGTTTTAGTCTCATATTTTAGAAATATAAACAGAATTTACGATGCTTATGTTTCTGTTATTCTTCTATTTTCAGTAACGACTTTTTTAGCTAAGACGCAAAATATAGGATTTAATTCAATTCCAGTTACTTAAAGCTAAAGGTTGCATTAAATAGACATTGAGTAAGTGATATCAATTTATTCATAGAATTGTTATCAATTTCTTTATTTCAGTTATTCGCATAGAAAACAACGTACGAATAATAACAGGAATGTTTGGAATACAATATTGTTTATTATTTTAAAGAACAAGTATAAAAAGAAATAACAATTATTATCTTCCTCTAATGATGATGGTGATGCGGTACAATGTGGTGAGTGCTGTATTTAACGTCCGCGTGGAAACTGGAAAGTAAATAGAAAATAATAATTATAAATAAATGTCATAAAAGTTAAACATAAATACTAATTATTGACATAGCTATTGCGAACGGCGTGATAACTTATATCCATCCAAATATTTTTTTTGGATTTGCATTTGTATTTGTTTAGAAGTCATATTTAGATGTACGATGTGAATTTTTAAAAGAATTAGTCGAGAAATGAGAAAGCATAACAGCGGTCTTTTGAAACATAATATTAACGTACCCGCTATGCTTGTCACCGTGGTACTCAACATGCCTGACAGAGCCATCGGGCTGGTGTAGAGAGTATCCACCCTTCACAACATCACCATCGCGGTGCTCGTGTTGCGACTTGATATCGCCAGTGTGATGGTCCTCTACTTTATACTCGAACTCGTATTTGGGATGAGTCTGTTGTGATTAAAATGATTACATAATTGATATTGTTGGTTTATAAACTCTCAGTAATTTGAATTAAAAACATACGTAGTAATCATGGTGGTGATGGTGGCCATGACCATGTCCATGGTCGTGGTGGACTTCATGATGGTGACCGTCGTGACGCGAGATGTGGTTCGATGAATACGCATGTTCATAGCCATGAGCATACACAACCACCAAAGCGATAGCCAAAACAATCATCTGTCAACGAAATTTTATAATTTTAACAGTTGTATTATTAACTTTACGTACTTAAAGTTCTAAGAAGTATGAACATTATCCACAGTTGTCTAAATAGTTAAATTTTTTAAACCGATAAAGTTGAATTAACTATAGCACAATTCACAGTTTAAAAAACCATAATTAAATCCACTTTCAAAGCATTGAAAGTTAATAATAAATAATCAACCTAAATCTTAATGTTGGTACATTATTTTCAATTGTTTATTCACATATCACTAAAAAATAAAACACTATCGTCACTATAAAATACCTTTGAAAACATTCTCGTAAATAGCTGAACTGAGCACTTTAATGTACTGATACTGTGTAAAATAAAATCAAGTCTTTTATACCAGTTCTTTAACAACTTAATTGTTATTGTAAAACGTAGTTAGATTAGCCGTAATATATTTTCCCACTCAAAATTTCGTGATAAGTGGTAGTTTCTTTCCGTTAGCAACAAAATTCCTGAGATGTATTTGCTTATATGCACTGCATGCGATACACGACACGATATCATAATAACAAAGCAAAGATTTTTAAACATGTTAATAAATGCCCTTATTATTACTGGAGTTACTACTTGTGTTCGTTAGAAAAGTACTTTAAGTTCGACCATTTTGTAGTTACATACTTATGTCGGCAAAAAAGGCGTCCTTCGGTACAGTTATTAGGATATCAAAAAGAATTGGAGAGGACAATAACAGTACAGTACAGATTTGTACCAGGAGACGCAAGTTTTGGTTTTAATTAACTTTTCTAACGCAAATAATATGGATACATAACACTAATATAGCTAAGTGTACTTAAAATATTTTAGTTGACATTTTCGCTTAAATTGAAATTCATAGTATTACGTAAGTTCCAATAAATAGACGATTTTATACATTCCCTGCGCAGGGCTTGTTGAAAATTATTTTGACATAGTAACAAAGCGATAAGGAACTTGAAACAAGGTTGAGGCTATCAAAAAGATTTATTTGGAGCATTTCATATAACCGGTTATACTTGTCGCAAAATCTTATGCAAAATCACAGCTACTTATATCGTATGATAAGTATAAAAAGGTGCATTCATTTTTTATCAACTATCAGTCTTCATTCGATTTTTCACAAGAAAAATAAAACCACAGCAAAATGTACAAGGTATAAAATTGATTTAAAAAACCATGACATATTAAACCTTCGTAGAGAACGTTCGAAAATCAAAATTTAATTTTTTAAGGGAAACATTTTATCATTTACGGTTGAAACCCTTTATTAAATCAAATAAATAATCAAAAACAACTGACAATCTAAGAGGAACGTTAGATATTTATATGCATTAAATATTAAATACCATTTCTAAATTCGTCAGGTATTAGTCGCCGCTTGCATTATCTCAATGGCCGCTGGTCAGTATTACTCTGGCTATGGTCATGGTCAACGTCTGCTCCAAAGCCACGGCAACATCGGATACAGAGCACCAGTCATTGTACAACACCAGCCTGCCCAGTACAACGGACATTATGACAACCGTCAGGATTATTACGTAAGTACAAAGAATACATACAAGTAGGCAATATTTAATTTGCTTAAGAAAGGATTCAGATATGAAGGCTAATAGAAATGTATGGAAGAGCAACACATATTGTGCTGACCCTTCATAGGGACAAGGGCAAGCTGATAATGATAATTGTAAATGTAAAATTTTTACTAATTATGATAATTTTAAAGGCTGCTCCACACTACTCCTTCGAGTACTCGGTGGCCGACTCCCACACCGGTGACATCAAGTCACAGCACGAATCCCGCGAGGGCGATGTAGTCCGCGGAGCCTACAGCCTGCATGAGTCCGACGGTACGATCAGGACTGTCGAATACTCCGCTGATGCCCACAACGGGTAAGTGAAAAACCATTTTAAGAAAAAACTAAGGCTCTTAATTGACTGAGTAGATGTTTTTGCAAAAGTCCAATGTGTGACAGTGAGCAAAAGTACTAAAGAAATCATAAAATGTAAAAGACTTGGAAGGCATCCAAAATGTGTACATTTTGAACATAAGTTTTGTAGTTTGTGTTATATACTCTTATTGTTTTTGCAGTTTCAATGCCGTAGTTCACCGTCAAGGTCACGCCGCACACGCCGTTCCCGTTCATCATTAATTCTTCTGGCGCCAATAGCAGACTTTAGCAATAAACTTAATTTATGTTTAACTTTAATAAAGATTATTAGAAAATTATGACAGTTTTTGAATTTCTATTAAGTTCACATCCATTAAAGCATCAAAATTTAATCAACGAGAAAGTTAACAAGAGTACATCTGAGTTTGACAAAACTTTTTAATAAAAAAACAAAACCGACTTCCAAACAAAATACACGAAAAACAAAACAAAATGCACTAAAAACAAAACAAAATACAC